ATATTCTTGCCTCCTTTGTCGAAGATTAGTTGACCAAAAGTTTGTGGGTTCATTTCTGGGCTCTCTATTCTGTCCCATTGGTCTATATGTCTGTTTTTGTACCAATAGCATGCTGCCTTGATGACTGTAGCTCTATAGTATTGTCTGAAGTCTGGGAGAGTTATTCCATCAACCAATCTGCCGTGTTTTACGGCATATTAGAAACAAACTTTTGAATGCGTGTACAATCACAAGTTAACTATATCCAACCAGGGGAAAACACTTTTATCACAGGTAGCTCACGAAGACAGTACTTCAAGTCTATTTAAGTTTTGCTTTGGATTCTTAAGTGAGTACATTTTGATCTCAGCATTAAATTTTAACATAACACATGACTACCTCTTGCTCCAGAAGGATTTGTTTATATTGAAAGAAGGAAACCTAAAGAAACAGGAAATTTTCTAAAACCTCCTAAATCCACATATACAAGCTATCTATAAACCTAAAGCAAAGAACGTCCTAGTTGAAATATTTCAGTTTTAAATAACATAGGCCCATGTGGTTATAATCTAAGAAAACTGAAGACATTTCTTTTCATCAGATACTGTGAACTTGTGCTCTTCGATGTTATCTGTGGACCAGTGCCAATGTGCAAACTGTTTGTTACCTGTCTATGACAGGATACACACAGAACATTGGTATTTAAAGACTTCTTTAGCAAATTGACTGCAATGTTACATCTATCGAATCAAACAATTTTAAAAATGGAGCTTATATTTTACATCTCTTTTTTCATTTCAGTTCTTCAATGATTCACTTTTTAACATGATACAAAACTTCTGCAACAGACTAAAATTAAAAAAACAACAAAAAAAGGAAACTTAAATCTTCAGCTCAGATAATATGAAAAGCAATGGGATGGATTATCACTGTAAAGGCGACCCATGTTGATATGAAGTTAAAAACTATAACAGCAGCAGTGGACGTGAGGAGGGAATGATTACAAGTCATCAAGTCATGTCAGAGAGTGAGAACACACAGGATCTGATGCTCTGCTGGGCTGGACAGGCCTGCAGGGTGGAGACAGAGGGAAGTCTGTGTCAGTTCCCTATGCACATTCTGGCTTGGATAGTAGGGGGAGGAATGCCATCCACCCAGATGAGAATGCAGGTTCCATATTCTCTTTTTTCTTGGGGGTGGGTACTGAGAATGGAGTTATGAGATGACATTTGGTATGGGACATGATATATTTACTGTATCTGTCAGATAGTCAGGTGGAGATGTTTGATTAATAGCATACTACGGAGTTAAAAGTCTAAGTTTAAAAAAAAAAAGTCTAAGTTCAGACAAAGGTTCAAATCCTGGCTCTTCCACTGACTGCTTGATGTTACCAAACATCCCTTAGCTTCAATTTCCTCACCTACAAATATGGAAAACATTACCATTTTGTAAAGATATGTTATAAGGCTTATGTTA